ATTCCAGGAATGGGAAATGGTAAGAGCCCTTTGGAAAACAGCTAGCAGGCCAGTTTGGCTGCAACACAGAAAGGGAGAAGGGATATAATACGAAATAAGTCTGGGAAGGCAGGATCTAGTCTACAAGGGCTTCCAATGCAAGGCAAAGGAGTCTGTATTTTATCCTAGGGGCAACAGTGAGCCACTAAAGATTTTTAAACAGTGAAGTTTAACAGGCAAACCTGTATCTTGGCAAGATTAATTTAGTATCTGATGGAGGCTAGACTGAAGTAGAAGAATGGCTGCAGGGAGTTATTACAAGAATCCAGGTGAGAAATGATAATGGCCTCTGTTAGGCTGGCAGCTTTATGAGGAGAAGGAAGGAGAGAGACACAAGAGATGTGGTGGAAATACAACCAATCAGACTTGACAATGATTGACAGTGAAGAGAGCGCGGGAAAGTAAGAACTGCGGATGAACCCAGAGTTGCGAACCTCAATGGTTGGGTTGGTGGTAGTGCTTTCACCAGAAATAGGGAAGTGTGGATAAGGAAAGAATTTGGGAAAAGGAGTAACAATCTATTCTCTTTTGGAGATGCTGATTCTGAGATACCCATGGGGCAAATCTCCAGGTGAAGATGTGAAGGAGACAACTGGAAATGAGAGATTATAGTTCAGAAGCAAGACTAGGACTGGATGGAAGATTAGAGATTCAGCTCTCATGGAAGCGGGTGAGACTGTCTAGAGAAAAAAATCTAGAAGAGGGCTCAAGGCAGAGTTTTAGGGAACACACTCCTGTTTAGCAGAAGGTAGGTGATGATCCCAAAACAAAGGACTAAGGAGATATCTAACACTTAAGACTGGAACCAAGAGAAAGCAATGGCATGGCAGTCAAAGGAAGAGAGGATAACCAGAAGCAGGGGTCAAAAGCAGCAGTTTATGGAGCAGCTAAGTGGCTCAGTGGATAAAGCACCATCCCTGGAGTCAGGAGGACCTGAGTTCAAGAATGCCCTCAGACACTTGACACTTACTAGCAGTGTGGCCCTGGGCAAGTCACTTAACCCCACTGCCTAACCAAAAAAAAAAAAAGTAGTTTCAGAGAAAAATGATATACATATAAAATCAAAAGGTATCCATTCCCCAAGAGGTAAGCAGTCAAAGGATATGTACAGACAATTTTCAAAAAAAGAATTGCAAATGATTAACAACTATATGAAAGAATGCTTTAAGTCATAAACAACAAGAGAAATGCAGAGAAATTCTGGCAATGTAAAAAACAAAAGATTTCAATAAAAATGTATTTTAAAAAATGAACACTGGCCATCTTGGATAAGCGGCTCTGTTGAGCAGTGTGATCATATACCAGGTTAGAAGTGGATGAAAAGTGATTGGAAGGTGGAAGACCAGAGGTAATAATTATAAGTGGCTTTCTCTAGGAGTCTGCCTGTAAAAAGGAGAAAAGATACAAGATAATTAATTGCTTGAGGTATAAGTGTTGTCCAAGGAAGGATTACAGAGGCCTGGCCATGTCTGTAGGTAGCCAATGGAAAAAGGGAGACTGAAGATGGGTGGGAACGAGACAAGCTCCTACGGGTGGTGGGAAGGACAGGCTTAAAGGGAACAGGCAGAGATGTTGGAGGCATGAAGAAAGGTCACCTGTTATTCAGAGACTGGAGCAAAGGAAGAGAAAAAGTCTGGAAAATGCTGAGTAGAGAAGAGGAAGGTCACAGACACGGCACCCATTTTCTCTGTAAAGCAGGAAGCAAGGAAGGACTCCTTCTGTTGTAAGGGAAGGGGATGAGGATGAGGTAGGGGATTGATAGACAGATGATTTAGAATAACCATCATGGGAAACGTGATGAGTAAACTAGGAAATACAGAAATAATCTTTCATGAAAAGTAACCATTTTAGTGCAAAAGCACTCCCTCCATAAAGGATGAGTGGCTACAGACAAAAACATTCATCATCAGGTTGCCAAGTTTCTGGTGATAAGCTTCTCCAAATGTAGCTTGGCCTGTACTGGCACAACAGTCACTCTGCTTGTTGTAAGGCCTGTACTTGAAGCCTCCCTCTCCAGCTCTGAAGGACTTCCCATAGTATGTACCCTGTTGGCATAGCCTTAGAAAACCCAGAATCCGGAGGCGGAGCCAAGATGGCGGAGGGAAAGCAGTGACTTGTTTGAGCTCTCCCTCCAAACACGTATAAAAAATGGCTCTAAACAAATTCTGAAGCAGCAGAACTCACAAAAAGACAGAGTGAAACAAATTTCCAGCCAAAGACAGCCTGGATGGTTGATCTTAAAGGTATATCGCGCCGGGCGGGGAGAGGAGGGCAGATTGGCGTGGGAGCGCAGGCTGCAGCGACCCTGGAGCAGGCCTCAGAGGACTGAATCACAGGCAGCTGTGGTGGTTTCCAGACTTCTTAACTCACGAAAGCCAAAGACAACTTGGAAGGCCAGTGGGAAAAGTCTGTGACTGCAGTGAGAGAGGAGCTAGGTCTCAGCTCGAGTGCGGCCATGGGCTGCGGCTGTTTCCTGAGCTTCCGGCCCACGGACAGAGGGTGAATCGAGTGGCTGATCAGAGGGGTATTGCAGGGTTCTCTTAGCCAGTGCTGAGGCAGGAATCTCTTGCTTTACCGGTGCTTGGATCTGGGTCACAGTTCTGAGGGGCAGTCCTGGGGCAAGGAGGAATGCTGGTGTGGTAAAGCTTGTTGTGGCGGTAGAGAGAAAACACCTCGCCCCTTATCATAGCACCTTGGAAGAACTGAAAATTTTCAGGTCCCTAGATGTATCTCTGAAAACAGTTGTACAAACCCCTGAAGCTTGGGACAGTACATTCTCCACATTGGAAGTAGACTCTTACCTTAACAAAGACTTTAAAACTCAAGTAATTGGCTGGGATCATGAGTAAGCAGCGCAAAAAGAGTCAGACTATATTATCTTACTTTGGTGACAAAGAAGATCAAAACATACAACCGGAAGAAGACAATCAAGTCAAAGCTCCTACATCCAAAGCCTCCAAGAGAATATGAATCAGTCCCAGGCCTTGGAAGAGCTCAAAAGGGATTTTGAGAAACAAATAAGAGAAGTGGAGGAAAAACTGAGAGTGATGCAAGAAAATCATGAAGAACAAGCCAACAACTTGCTAAAGGAGACCCAAAAAAATACTGAAGAAAATAACACCTTAAAAAACAACCTAACCCAAATGGCAAAAGAGGTCCAAAAAGCCAACAAGGAGAAGAATGCCCTAAAAAGCAAAATTGGACAAATGGAAAAGGAAGCCCAAAAGATTACTGAAGAAAATACTTCCTTAAAAATTAGAATAGAGCAATTGGAAGCTAGTGACTTTATGAGAAATCAAGACACTGTAAAACAAATCCAAAAGAATGAAAAATTAGAAAACAATATGAAATACCTCATTGGAAAAACAACTGACCTGGAAAATAGATCCAGGAGAGAGAATTTTAAAATTATTGGACTATCTGAAAGCCATGATCAAAAAAAGAGCCTAGACATCATCTTTCAAGAAATTATCAAGGAAAACTGCCCTGATATTTTAGAACCAGAGGGCAACACAGAAATTGAAAGAATCCACCGATCTCCTCCTGAAAGAGATCCCCAAAGGAAAACTCCTAGGAATATTGTAGTCAAATTTCAGAGTTCCCAGGTCAAGGAGAAAATATTACAAGCAGCCAGAAAGAAACAATTCAAGTATGGAGGAAACACAATCAGGATAACACAAGATTTAGCTGTTTCTACATTAAGGGACTGCAGGGCATGGAATGTAATATTCCAGAGGGCAAAGGAGATGGGACTGCAACCAAGAATCACCTACCCAGCAAAACTGAGTATAATCCTACAGGGTTAAAAATGGTCATTCAGTGAAACAGAGGACTTTCAAGCATTCTTGATGAAAAGACCAGAGCTGAATAGAAAATTTGATTTTCAAATACAAGACTCAAGTGGAACATGAAGAAGTAAACAGGAAAGAGAAACTCATAAGAGACTTATTAAGGCTGAACTGTTTACATTCCTGCAGGGAAGATGATATTTGTAACTCATGAGACCTTTGTCAGTATTAGGGTAGTTGGAGGGAAAAAATTATATGTACGTACATATATGTAGAGATAGATAGACAGATAGAGGGCACCAGGTGATTTGAAGATGAAGGGGTCATATCTGGAGAATAAAATTAAGGGATGAGAGAGGATTATACTAGGAAAAGGAGAAAGGGAGAGGTAGAAAGGGGTAAATTATCTCACAAAAAAAAAACAGAAAAAAAGGCTCTTACAATGGAGGGGAAATGGGGGAAGGTGAGAGGGAATGAGTGAATCTTATTCTCATAGGATTTGACTTAAGGAGGGAATAACATACACACTCAATTGGGTATGGAAATCTGTCTTACCCTACAGGAAAATAGGGGGGGAAGGGGACAAGAGAGTAGGGGAATGACAAAGAGGAGGGCAGATTGGGAAAGGGGGTAATCAGAAGCAAAGACTTCTGAGGAGGGACAGGGTCAAAAGAAAGAATAGAATAAATGGGGGGGCAGGATAGGATTAAGGGAAATAGAGTTAGTTTTTCACAGCATGTCTACTATGGAAGTGTTTTGCATAACTGCACATATATAACCTACATTTAGTTGCTTGCCTTATCAATGAGGGTGGGTGGGGAGGAAGGAAGGGAGAAAATTTGGAACCCAACGTTTTAAAAACACATGTTTAAAAAAAAATGTTTTCACATGAAAAAAAAAATAAAAATAAAAAATAAAAAAAAATAAAAAGAGAAATGTTCACAAAGTATAAAAAAAAAAAAGAAAGAAAAGAAAACCCAGAATCCCCTCAATGCCATGGAAAAGACTGGAAGAGGACTTTAGGAGAAGAAATCAAAACCTCATCTCTGCACTACAGGGCAGTCACATCTGTGTATTTAGTCAGAAAGTTACCAGATGGGGATAAATATCATAAAACTGGACACCTAATGAGAACAAACCAAAACAAGCCAGCTCTATGAATTGTGAGTTTACCCTGAAATGCTTCTTGATTACTCTGCTCCTGACTCCTTTCGGGAGAGGCCATCATTTTTGCAAATGCTATAGTCCACCAAGGCTTGTACTTCAAAACTTTTCGAATAGCTTCATCTTCAAAATAGTCCGCTCTAGAAAAACAGGGAATGTGCTTGTTATAATAAACTGTCACATCTTTTTTTTTTATTTTGAATCTTTCTTTCAATAAGCCACTTCAAACTGAATACACATATCCTAGAATCCAGCTAGTGGATAGAATGCCAGGCCTGGAGTCAAGGAAGACTCATGTGCCTGAGTTCAAATCTGGTTTCAGATGCTTACCAGCTGAGGGACCCCAGGCAAGTCACTTAACTCTGTTTGCCTCAGTTTCCTCACCTGTAAAATGAGCTGAAGAAGGAAAAGGCAAACCACTCCAGTGTCTTTTCCAAGAAAAAATAAGGTCACAAAGAGTCATACACACTGAAAAGGACTGAACAACATCAATGGTCCTAGAAGAAAAGGTGGTATGTCCAATACATACTCGTAGTAATTTCTAATTACACTTAACTTTTTCTTAGTTACTTGGTTACTATGTAACCAAGGAGAAACATACACTACACAAGGGGCCTCCCATATTCCTAATATTTTCAAAAAGTAAAAGCACATGACACACCCCCCCTCTCTCTTTCATAAGTATTCCAAAGTGGAGATGTGGAACATGTCGAAGTCCTAGATCTGGCAGCATCCAATTGTCTGATGCTGCTCCACACATCAGGTGTCAGTAAGGCCATTATAAGCAGGGAGGTTTTTCAATCAAAGAGGAAAAAAAATCAACACAAAGACTCAAGCAGTACTAAGAATCTACAGACAGCCACCCACCATCTACTGACACTTTGGAGTCTTTTCCTTTTTTTCCAAAGCAGTGTAAAGCAGTTCTTAATATAACGATGGTGATGCACAGAGGAGGAGCTCGGCAAATTAATTAATTTTAGTTACTGTAGCTACTGACAAGCAGGCAGACAAAAGAGAGAAAGGGAAAGTTATATTCACCTTTCCCCCATGGGGTTGGTTCTTCCATTGTGTGGTTTTTCCCTAATTGTTCCTGCTTTTTTCTACCCCCAGAGACAGAGAACAGCTCTCAGACTTGTACACACTTTTTTCACTCCCTGGTAGAAGAAAGTGGCATGGCATCAGGGGAAACTACAAGAACAGAACACTCCCTTGGGAAATTGCTTTCACATTCTCATTAATCATTCAACTTAAAGGCTTAGTTATCACTTCAAAGAAAGCAGAAAACTCTTTATGCTAGAGAGATAAGATAGTACTTAGAGAACTGCTCTTGCAGCTTCGCGTCAGTCCCAAAGTTACGGCACTGACCTCTACTTGTAGTCCAAACTGAAAAGAAGGACTAAGCAGAAAGGAGGGCTAACTAGGCCATTTTAAAATGGGGAAGACAGGGAAGAAAAAGGCTGCAAGAAAAATTCACGGCATGCAAATGAAGTCCTACAGGCTGTTCTAATTTGAGTACTACTTAAAGAGTAGTAGATTTAGAGTCTGAATCTGGCCTCAGATACTTTCTAGTTGTGTGTCCCTGGGCAACTCGGTCTGCCTCAGTTTTCTCCGCTGTAAAAATGGGGCTAATAACAGAACCTAACTGGAAGGGCTGTTGTAAAGATCAAATAAAATGAGATAATATATGTAAAGTGCTTTACAAATCTTAAAACATGATTTAAATGTTAGCAATTACTTTTCATTATTATTAATATTAATATCAATACTGACCATCACAAGATCAAATGTACAATAACTTGGTAGGCTGATTACATGTAGTATTTGCAGTGACTTTTGACTTTCTTTAAAATTACTTTTACAACTGTTCAAATGCTTAAATCAATGACATTCAAGATGACTTTAGAAATGCAACATTAGCAGAATTTAAGATTATAACAGGGGAAACCACTCCATCTACCAAAAAATGCCTTAAATAGAAGAGAATGTAATGGAAAATACTAAAAAACACTATTACCAAAAGGCCCTATGGGCATTCTGCATAAAATATAATTAAGGCAATGCATACCCGACAGTACTCAGCTACCAGGAAAATTTCAGATAAAGACCAAATTCAATTTATACTTTAACTAGAAAATCACCAGCACATCATAAGTGTACCTACCTCTCTGAGAACACACTTTCTGACAAGATTTCACCCAATAAAATTCAGTTAAAAATCCAATCAATTAAAGTCAAATCCCTTATTCTTTCAAATTCTATTATTCCAAAATGTATTTGTTCATTTTCTTGCCTCGGAGGCAAAGTATACTGAACATATTTCAAACTTTCTTTGATGACTCCAGTCAAAATTCTGATACACAAGCCTCATTTTATAGGAATAACCCATGTACTACTTCCTTAATTGGTGATTTTTCACAAGATTTATATTTTTTAAGCAAATTTTACCACAACATTATGAAATCCTAACATAATGGTTTGGGATCCATCATCAAACTCACAAATCATACAGTAAATTTCTTACTTCAAAACAATTAGGAATCTCTGAGAGGTCTCTATTTCTCTACACTCCTATTCCTCTCTATGATGCCACTGAGATGGCTCCTATCTGACACCACTGCTGTTCCTTTGTCTTACGCCTGCCTCACCCCCACCCCCACCCCCACCTGTGGTTCAGAGCTTATTCTTCTTTCAAGCTGAAAGGAAACCAAATCCCCAAATAGCCTGTTCTTCCCTTCACATTTCTTGGTGACTTCAGCACCTCTTTGCAGACTACAAAAGGACTAGGTGAGAGTTCAGTCTGGCGCTTCAATTTAGGAAAACGATCTCAGATCTCTTTCAAGACCTTTTACACCCACGGATGTGCATGTGAACTTGTACAGATGGACATGTGTGCTTTTATAATCAATTCTACTCCTCCCCCAGGAACCTCTCTTTCATGTATAACATGGTCTTACTGAACTATCTGTAACTTTGTTCCTTCTAACATTCTGTTTCACAGAATAATTAATGACTCTAGGCAGGGTATGCCTACATAATAATTCAGGAGCAGATGGAGTAAGATAGGAGACGAAGGTGAATTTATATTAACCCCAATAATTATGTATGTCACAAATGGGGAATGGCTGAACAAGCTGTGGAATATGAATGTGACTGAATATTCCAGTGCTGGAAGAAATGACAAAATCACTGATTTCAGGGAACCTGGGGAATATGAACTGATTCAGGGAGAAATGGGCAGAACTAGAACTTTTCATAGAAAGGCAGCAATATAAGCACAGTTCTTTAAAAAGGAAATTACACATTTCAGCCTTTTCACTCATTCAGATTATTCATATTACATTGAATTGGGAGAATTTCACCTATAACCATTTCCCCAAGCCTAACATTTTAAATAGTATCCCATTTACCTTGGCAGTTTCCCATTTTTGTAAATCACTTTTTTTATTTCTAGGATCCCCAAGACAATAAACCAAAGACATAAATAGGAGAAAGGGACACACTTTTTCTAAACTACTATTTTTCTGAGTTCACACACCAGTTGGGAATGAAAAGAATCAGTATGTTTGCACAAGAAGTTAGGCTAGCATCAAAATACATGAAGTAAATAATTCACATCTACAATCAACAAGTGTACTATTTAGCAGCTAACACACAATCATCTGTAACAATCTGTAAAATGGCTGAAATTTGAAACTTCGAATATCTAGGACACCAAATGGGACAAGACCATACCTTCCATTCTCCCATTTTCCTCATTTTTTCGTCTTAACTGAAAATATTCTTTTCAGAGGTTACGGCAAAAAGAGCTATTATTTGTTAATAAACAGAAAAGATTAGTTCTTGCACACCAATTAAAGTAATGAACTTCTGGATAAAAGGAAAAAGATGAAGAAAAATACAATTCAATGACTACAAAACCAAATTTCTTAATGTCCTTAGCCCAAGCAGTTATTTTTCTGTTCCCTTTTACAAGAGCTAGGCCGTTGTTCTAATTAAGCTCCCCCTCTCTCAGAAATGTTTGTGATGCCCTTACCCTTGCCTGAGAAATCTGCTGACAATGAAGATTCCACTTTAAATATTCAGCATGAATTTAAATGGGCTTCTTCAAATTGCTCTTCAGCAGACCTTTAAAACCACCAATTGGTGAGATAAACATAATTAGAAATGGCAACATAAATGGGGAAGAACCTCTGAGGTCCTCTAACATATAAAAGACAGCCTGCTCTCGTTGTCCCTTAAAATGTCCCAAAGTCTTGCTGCTTATCACTGTATCATATAGAACATGGCATTTGCACATAAGATATACTTTATTCCAATTAGTTTCATACTGTGACAGGAGATAAAATATTAATTACTAGAGTAGCAGCAAGCATTCACAGATCATACATAAGAAGGAATTGGGGGAAAATGTTAAGTTCTTTCTCTAATTTTAACAGCAGATTCCAATTGTCAAAAACTTGCTTCCAAAAAAAAAAAAAAGCAAATTTGTCAGGAATGAGAGCTTATGTTTAGAATATAATCTGGAAAAGCTTTTGCAAGGTAATGAATCAGTCAAAATGGTAAATTCAGAAAAGTTCTTTAAAATATATTCATAATTAATATTTTGGCACTATTAAAATCTTCAAATGTTTGAATAATCCCAGTAAGTTCAAATAAATACAAATACACAAAGTTGTATATACCCAAAGGCATTTAATGATTTGAATAACAAACTTAACTACACATACCAAAACCTGCTATGACGATGATTTAAAATAATGAGGGCTACCGGATCACTTTATGATGCTTGACCAAAAAACCGAGCAGTACTATAGTCAATATGATAAAATAATAACTAATATTAACGAAGCACTTTATGGTTTCCAAAGAGTTTTACACACTTGATCTCACTTGAGTCTCACCAACAAACCAGTATAAACAGGTACTATGGGTATTATTATCCTCATTTTAGAAATAAGGAAACTGAGGTTAAGAGAGGTGAATTATTCATAGACAACAGGCAGGATTCAAACCCAGGTCATCCTGTCTCCAAGTCTGACACTCTATCCACTATGCCATGTTTTCCTCTTGATTCCAAAACTCAGCTCTGGCCTTTATTAAAGAACTATTTAACTACATCTTGACAAGAAGACATAGAAAATGCAAAATTGTAATGTTAAAGGTAGACTACAGCTAACAGAAGCAAGAGGGAAATGCACTTAAATATCTATATTAGCATTCTATTTTTACTTCCTTGGTGAAGAATTATTCATTAGCTGAAGACAGAATTTAGTTCATGAAAAGTATTGGCTAAGCCTGGACCTTTGCTATAAAATGCAAAGAAGGTAAAAATTGAACTATACTTATGAAAAATCAGATGCAGTTTTGTGTACTCATGGTTTGATCATTTCATTTAAAAACCAACTAAATGATTAGCCTTGATAATAGAAATACCAAAAATATCCTTATTCACTAAATTTAGTATTCTATTTTACCCTGGACAAACAAAGCTTGGAGTATCTATTCAAAGCTTCTGCTGCTGCTAAGGTAGTCATCTAGGAAATAACATTTTACACATCTATTTACAGTTATGTATATTTAGCTCATAGAGGCACCGCCCTCATAGATTAGCTCAATGGCCAGTTAAGCTAGAAGAAGCACCTTGTGTCAAAGTCATATCACAGAAGAGAGACTGTCTGGATTTGCAGGCAGGGGACCTCAATTCAAACTCGGGCTGTTACATACAACCTGTGTAACTTGGTCAAGAAGTGACTAGGCTGCAGTTTCCTCATTTATAAAATAAGAGAGTGGGCTTAGATGATCTAGATGATCCCTCCCAGTGTGAGATCCGATGGCCTCCATGAAATTTTCAAAATCACTATTTCCCCCCAAAAAAATCAATTTTCAAAATTTTCTTCTCAAAACTGGGGCCAGGGGAGGAGTGAGGAAGAAATATGTTGATGACTTTATTTCACCCACTAAAAGCTCAAAAGAGTATGAAGAACTTAACATTGTACTTACAGGTAATGATCGGGATCAAATTTTGACTCTTCAGCAGCTAGGCGCTTCTGCCTTCGTTCGGCTGGGGGAGTGGAGTCTGGCTCTTTGACATCAATGACATCACTCAATTCATCCTAGAGGCAGTAAGTTAAAAAGAAGAAAGTGAACCACATCACCTCAAATACATACGTCAGCCTCGAGACACAGAGTTCAGACAAAACATCAGACACAAGAAGTCTGGTTTACCAGTAAGTTGATTCTGTAAGACATGGTACCTGATCCTATCAGTAAAAAGGAACTAAATAGCTCCCTCTGAAGATACATTAGAGTAAGCTGATATTTACTACTGAATTAAATGGAAATTCAATATATCAAACTGAATAAACTCATTATGCTTCCTTACATTCACAACTTTTCAAAATGCTTTCCTGTCTATTAACAGAGAAATGCCTCATTAGAAATGTTTGAATTTTTCACTTAGGAAACTAAAGAAAACTACAAACAAAAGCATTTTCAAGAAATTAATGTCTCCAATAAAATTTTTCCACTTACACACATGTATTTGTCCCAATCCAAATAGGCATATACTAGGGAGACTCCTTAGATGGCCATTTCCCTTTGGACCCTGCTTATGAGGACAACAAGCCTTCACCAATATCCCCAAATGGCTACAAACCAAAACAAAATAGGTAAAGCTAAAGGAAACCACAAGTGTCCACATTTACATACGGCAGCACCTGACGGTTTACAAAGAGTTCCCCTCACAGCCTCGAGAGGTCAGTAGCATATGTTTCATGGATGGGGTTTGCCGTGGTCAAACAACCTAGACACTGAAACAGAAAGTAAGTACGCTGCTACAGTAAGTACACTGCTCACTAGGAACAAATAGTTCAATCCTACAATCAACAAGTGAATCTAAGACAAGTTGGGAGCAGGTTCCAACAGCTCATTGTGGGATGAAATCTGTCTACAGAACTAACACGAGGGATACTACTACAGGCTGGTTATTATTAAATGCACGGTGGGCAGGCGAAATCCTAATTATACACTAGCGAGAGGTGAAGAAAGCCTCCAACAGGCAGAATAGCCAAGCAGTACAAAGCAGATCTAATGTAAACCACTGTCTCATTTGAAACAACTCCAAACTCTTCCCGGAGACCACTCATTTCAAGCAGCAGTCACTAGAGCGAAGGATGCTCCGGTGCAAGCCATGACCAGAGCCGTGGCTGTGGTGTTCAACATGACACACGCAATGACAGAAATCCCCAAAGGGCTTTAATATTGCCGTGTACCAAAGCTATATGCCCAAAATGAACGTCCAAATTACATGCAGCTCTAATGAGACAGGAACAAAGAGAATGGGAGTGGACCACACACACTCCCACGTCACCAGCTGAGGGTGTTGCGAGCATGAAAGTTGGGGTGCACTTTGCCCCCGTGTGGATGGAGCTGAGACCCTGCAGCAGGCCAGACAGGACAAATGTGGCTTCTGAGACTTTGAAAGGAAGCCTTTGCTAACTGCTCTAGTCTTCTGTCTGGTGGCTCATTCGTTTTATCTTCAGGCCCACTTTAAAACATCTCCCCAAGAGTACTGGAACAGGATTTCAGAATAATGACTGTTTGTTAAAACCCTCCACTGCAGAGCAACCCATTGCACTGAAAGTCGGACAGCGATCCAGGTACACAGATGCAGTATTTGTGCATCTAATTTTTCATTGTCTTCTCCCTGATATTTCCATGCTAAAAGAGAGAAGTGGAGAGAGAGGAGTACAGACTCAAGGGATCACCCAGGAGTCCCTGGCAGCTGGTGGCCTTCTGTGTGCAATCCCCCTTCTCCAAATGCTGGCAGCAACAGGCCTAGAGAGTCACAGCACCACAGAAGCCCTCAAGCCCTACCACCCTCATGTCAGGGACGTTAAGTGACTTGCCCAAGGCTACATGGATAATAAGCCCTGGAGGAGGGACTAAAACTGAGGTCTGCCTCATCCAAAGGCAGCAAACTATACACCCGTTCGTCATTTTACATGTGAAAGCAGTATTTTAGAGTATGTTAAAGTTGACTTTAAATCTACAATTTTGAATTAGTAGCAATTTCCTCAAAGCTATTATTCATGCAGCAATTATTTCAATTTCTTCCAACTGCATTACTGGCATAAATTATTAAAAGGGTCATATTTTTAGTCTAAAGCTATAAATCTGTTTTAATCACACAGAATGATTATCATAAATAGAGTATGTAAAATTACACAGGACCCCTCCATAGAAACCCAACTATGCAAGTTTTTTTTTTAATTTCTGGACCCATACCCATAAAACACAGCTTTATGCCACATTAACATTCCCCCAAAAAAGTGTTCTTTATGACACCTCAGTTTGGACACATTTGTGGGAAGTCCAGTAATTTCTTAATGTTCACGAACATAATGGTTAAAATTAATGCAAAAGGAAAAAAGTATAATCTTATAGAATCTCGAAACTAAAAATGATGAAGAGGTCACGTATCTAATATAACCTATACCTTGAAGGAAAATCCTTTGGAAAGACAAAACAGATTGATCAGGTGGCTTTACTTGACTACTAATTAAGCCTCCTTTTATAAGATGGGAAAAAATTTTAAATGAGATTCTATTAACCTATTTACTTTTCAGGGAACATATTTTAGTACAAGCACAGACCAGTTCTAATCCAATAAAGAATAAATCCTATATTATATAGGCATCAGAGAGAGGACTAAAAGAACATTAAGGCATTCCTAACTTATATCAGCAACCCATCAGGAAATCATTAACCTCTTATTTAACTACCTAAGGAAAGTCTCATGACAGGTAACATCCCAAGTAAATCATTGTTTCCATGTTTGTACCTTCATGATCTTATCAGACCTTCACACAACAATAAAACTGAGGCTCAGAAGAATTAAGTTACCAGCCACAGAACACACAGCAGAGCCCTGGAGGAGCCAGGAAAAAACCCAGGCCTCCCTCCTCCAGGACTGAGCACTGCACACCTGTTCTCACAGTTACATCAACAGATTAACATCCAATAAACCAAAGCACAGGATGTCCCAAAAGTTTTAGTGCAGCTTTAGGATACTAAAACCGCACAAAGTCTGTTGGGACACACTGGATCCTGTAAGCTGTTAAGAAATGTTACTTTAAAAAAAAGACTAAGACAGTAGCTCTTAAATATTTTCATGCTATAACATCCCTTGGGAAAATCACTTAAAGTCTCTTCCCTTTTTCTCATTTATCCTCAGAATGTAGCATAATGTTCAAGCAAGGGTAAATGAAAATGGTATCTTTTCTTTGTTGTGACATCCTTTCTTTTCATCTATATTATATTTATTATTAACAAATATCAGGTGCCCACTGGGTAATAGTAGTATTTACATGGTGCCATGTGCTAAGCCCTTTACAATTATTATCTCATTTGATCCTCATAACAACTTGGAAGCACGTGCTATTATCACCATTTTACAGATGAGGGAACTAAGGCACATAGAGGTGAAGTGACTTGCCCAGTGTCTCACAGCTAGTCAGTGTCTGAGGCTGGATTTGTACTGGGGTTTCCCTGACTCTAGGCCCAGCACTCTGTGCACTATGGCACCCCCTAGCTTCACCCTTGTCATTAGGAGCTTAGAATAATAATAAAAATAGTCAATAAACATTGAATAATAACTCACATTTTTGTCAAACTCAATGAAAGTGCTGTGACTATAAGTTTGAGAAACACTGATTTCAAATGTAAGAGAAAAGTCCTAGATAGTCTTCAAAGGAAAACAACAAACCTGCAATCTTTTAAACACTCCTGTGCGTAAGTTTCCAAACCCATAATGCCACTGTGAATTCAAGTCACTTTCTGTTAATTCTTCATAAGGAGACTGTTCGATTTCCCAGTCAAAGTCTTCCTCATCTTCGTTAGACTCTACAGGAAGCTCAGAAGAACCTAAATATGTTGAATATTATAACGGAAACAGGATTATTTTCATTATATTATGGAAATTACTTTCTTATCAGAAATTCATCACAATGGTGGTTGAAAGTCAAGTTCATCAAGTTTTTCATAGTTCCCAAAAGACCTAACCTTACACTTCGAAATTTTCTTCTAATTAATTCTTTATAGAAGGGTTTTTGTGTTTCTTTTTAAAAAATGCATGGCAAAATAACAACAATAATGGCAGCTAATATTTATACAGCACTTACTTTACATGCCAGATGCTGTGCTAAGCACTTTACAAATATCTCATTTGAACCTCACAACAACCCTGGGAGGCAGGTGCTATTATTATTCCCATTTTACAGATAAGAAAACTGAAGCAAACACAGGTGAAGTAACTACTAGCTATACTGCTATAGAAACTACAGCAGCTGGCAGAAGGCTAAGCCCAGTGACCCCTCCGACCATGAGGACTTCGCGGAGATGCTGAACTCTGGCCACTGGAATGACACAGAGCACCGCCTAGCATAGACACTGAATCTGTGAAAAAGAAGTGATCTTCTGAAGCCGCTTCCCCATGGCTGTAATTATGACTAAACTTTCTTAGTAACCTTTTTTCTCAATAAATTTTGATCCCCCAGCTAGTATCTGAGGACAGATTTGAACTGGGGCCTCCCTGACTCCAAGCCCAGAAATATATGAAAAAACACGACCTTCAGGCAAATAAGCACATATTTTGTAACATTCTCTGAAATGGGAGAAAAAAACATAAAAATAACTACATAAGCAACATTTTCTTCCAGCTGGGGAATCCCAGTACATTTTATAAACATATACCACAACTTTTTTCTTCCCTTCCACAAACTTACCCCTGTTCCCTCATCTGACCTGCTCTTCCACATCTCCACCAATCATGTCTACCCTCCTGCTGCTCAAACAATTCCAAAAGCTTTCCTGTTCCTAATGGAAATGGACATACATACCTGTCACTTCCACAAGTGGCTTTGCAGATCTGGATTTCTTTGATGCCAGGAGTGATGTCAGCATATCCAGTCCCTCAAAATGCTGACCAGGGGTCTCTTTGGACATCCGAAGAGTAAAGATTCCTTAAAGATGAAATAATTTTTGAATTAAAAGGATTTACAAGTTAGCACATAGTATACAATCTAGCAGACAGTACAAAATTTCAAATATTTCAAAATTGTTTCTAAAGAGTGCATGTAGCAGTGAACTAGAAATTCCTGAATTAAAAACTCTGTCATTCCTTTATCTGAAAATCACTCCTATTATTTCTGTCTCTCCCTAGGCCTCCCTCCTCCAAACCCATTCATCACCCTGATGGAGATCTCCAATCTCTCCACTTCTCAGCATCTTCTCAGGCTGTGAGCCTTGCTCTCACTTCACTTTCCTCCTTTGCAGATCTCCATCCTATAGCTCCAGTTCCCGTAGGACTAATTACCATCTTTATCCAGATGACCCACAAATCTATGTATTCAGTCCCAGGCTTCACACTAAGCTTCAGCCCTACCTCACCAATTACCAGTCATACATTTCAAGTTGAATGTCCTGGGGATATCTCAAATTCAGCATGTCCCATATTAAATTCATTGTTTTTCACCCTAAACCCACTCCTTCCTCTTCCAAACTTCCCTATTTCTATAAAAAGTACCACCATTCTCCCGGTCTCCCAAGTTGGTAACCTCAACGTCATCCTCACCATCCAAATTCCTCCCTCACCCCACATACCCAATCAGTCACGAACCTTGCTGTTTCTCACTCACAGTTTCCAGTTCCTCCCCACCTGGAGCCTAAATTACAACAGCCTCCTACGTGGCCTCCACGCTGCCACAAGTCTCTCCCAACTCTGGCACCTCCTCTACTACAGCCAAAGCCAAAGCGATACTGCTCAAGTGAAGCTCTGACCATGTGATTCCCATCTTCAATCAATTTCACTACAACCTCATCTCAACCTATCTCTCCAGCCTCTTGGACGTGATTTCTCTCTCCTCCGACACCCCAAGATCCAGCCACAATGGCCTTCTCTCAAGGCTCCCATCTGCATGCCTGGAATGCGCTTCCTTCTTTCTGACACTTCAAACAGTCTCATCTTCTGCAAGAAGCCTTTCCTAATCCCCCCAATTACTAGTCCCCTCTCTCCTAAACTACCTTCTATATAACTACATATATGTAATTCTCCTGCTTCTATATGTATTTCACATCTGCATTAGAATGTATGCTCCTTGTTGGTAGGGAATCCCATTTTTCTCCAGCAGTTAGCACAGTGTTAGTCACATTGTAGGTGCTTTAAAAATGATGGCAGGATGACTGATAGAGACAGGCTCAAAAAATACACTGTAGCCAGATTGCTGAGGGCCAGGCTAAAGAGACTGGACAGAAAATGAGGAGTTAACAAAAAAATTTGAGCCGAGGGATGTCACAGTCAAAGCTGTGGGTAAGGAAGATTATCCTAGCAGCAATATATAGAACAGGGATGGGGAACCCAAGGCCTGAAGCCTCCAGGATGCAGGTTCCCCACCCCGGTACAGAACAAATTAGCAAGACATTAAATACATTTGTTAGAAATCTATTCCAATTTTCTAGGTCAAAGGCCTTGAAATAAGGTATTAGCAATGAGAAAATAAAGTGAACAAATGTATTATGTTGCGAGATAAACTTGAAGTTTCCTGTAAACTATGTAAAGAAAATTGAACCTGTCTTTGAATGTCACTCATAATTATTTCCAGGATACCAGCAAGCTAAGGTATTAAAGTTTGTCTTAATTTTAAAACTGCACAAGAATAATATCAAGATGCTATGCTATCACTTCCATAACAAAGGTCACTGTTCATAAATGATGTCTCCTAAATATCTCTCGATAACTAAAAAATGGGTAAGTATAGATTAATAACCACCACCATAGCTGACAGATTCCACTTTAAAGGTTTCAAAGCACTTTTTATTATTCCATTTAACACAGAATATAAAATCACAGAACTCTAAAGCTGAGACTAAGCTCAGAGATTATCTAGTTCAACTCTCTTATTTTATAGATAAGGTACATTATGATAAAATAAAGTAGATTAAAATTACAATGGCAAATAAAAGCATTAAAATAAAATGTCAAACATGCTACATTAAGGAATAAACAAAAAGTAATAGCATATTTTATTAGACTGATTCTAGTTCCACTTAGAGATCCTCAAGTTACAATGATGTGGTTATTCCTGGCATAAAGAATCCAATGGTGTACCTTTATCCACATCATACGAACCATCTTCAGCTCCATTTTCTACAATTCTTCCAGGAAGAGTTAATCTGTGGAATTGAAAAAGACTTTATTAAGCACTTAAATCAAACAGCAGTGTGTTTGAGCTATTCAGCGACATTACAAAAATCCCAGTGAAAAGCACTTACCTAAAAAAAGGCCAATAAAATGAACAAAATCACATATGAAATAATCACTCTGCAAGTTATTAATCTTTTTTTCCCCTTTGAGGAAGCAAGATGTGGATCTGTGAATTTGGTGATATGGAATCACCACCCACAAACCCAGGTTACCAGCTCTAATACAAATCTGACTTAAACTGCACTAAACTCCCATATCCCTGGTAACTAAGTTGCCTGAGGGTTTAAGAGGCTAAGGGACTTGTCCAGGGTCATTTAGCCAGTTTTTGTTTAAGGCAGGAGTTGAAACTAAGTCTTCTGATTCTAACATTGGCCCTTTATCCACCAGGCAATGCTATCTTTCATTAGCAGCTTACTAACCAGGATTATATAGTAAACTGGCAGCTGGGTAGCAAAGAATCCTGAATAAGACTTCAAAAAGACCTGTTTTTTCTAATCCTCCCTCAGACACTTAGTAGCTGTGTGACCTTGGCCAGTCATGGAGCCCATCTCAGGCTCAATGTCCTCACCAGTAAAATGGTGATAACAGCTTCTACCTCACAGGATAGTTCTAAGACTCAAGTGAGCTACTACTATATGTAAAGCACTTTACAACCCCTAAGGTGCCATATAAACGTTAAGTTATTGTTAAGTGGTATTCCTTTCCTACTTGTCTGGCTGAGACTTCTCAGCCTTTTTTTTTTCCAATTTATTTCTTTATTTTGTAGGCAATTGGGGTTAAGTGACTTGCCCAGGGTCACACAGCTAGTAAGTGTCAAGTGTTTGGGCTGAGGCTGGATTTGAACTCAGGTCCTCCTGACCTTAGGGCCAGTGCTCTACCAACTGTGCCACCTAGCTGCCCCTTTCTCAGCCTTCTTTACAGTATCAGCATCTACATCCCATCCCACCTCTGCTGTATGGATGGTACCTCAAAGGTCTACACTCTTTCCTGGTGATCTCATCAGCTCCCTCAAATCCAAATTACATCCTCTGAAGACTATTCCCAAATCTACACATCCAGCCCTCCTCTCTACTGGAGCTCCAGGCTGTATCCCTAACCACCTGGTGGACGTCTCTGCCTGGATATTCCATTAGCCTAACAAACTTGACATGTCCAATAAGAAACTCACTACCTTTCTTTCTGTTTCTGCCAAGGACACCCTTTTTCTAGTCACTCAAATTCACAACCTTGCAGTCATTTCCCTCTTCGACATCTTGACCTGGACAACCTGTCGGAATCTTAAACTTAACACGTCCCCAGACACGACTCATTATCTTTACCCATAAACTTTTCCCTCTTCCCAACTTCCCTACTACTGTTAAGGACACTTACAAGTCGCCAAGGCTCTCTCCCTAGGTGACATCCTCTATTCCTGTCTCATACTCCCTCCACAAATCTAATCTGTTGCTAACCTTATCCTTTCTACCTTCATAAGGTCTCCTGCTCCTGGTTTCCCTGCCTCGTGCACCTCCCCCACACCACTGTGACCTTCTTAAAGTGCAAGCTGACCACGTCAAGCCTTCCTACTCAGTACACTCTCCATGGCCTCCAGGATCAAACAGAAATACAGTCCTTTCACTTTTAAAGCCCTTCTGAGCCTGGCCCCTTCCTGCGTCTTATCAAGGACATCTTTCGACTCCATGCCTGAGCAGCGGCACTCACTCTCACCTCCAATACTCCTTCTACTCACTTCCACCTCTTGCCTTCCTTCAAAATGTCTCAAATCTCACTTTTTGAAAGAGGATTTTTCTAGTGTCCCCTCGTCAGTTTCCCATGATGCCTTCCCTCTGGGATTGCCTTCCATTTACAATGTACGTATCTTGAATGTGCATATTGGAGCTATTTAAAGCAATCAATCAATAAGCATTTAAGTGCCTACTATGCGCCAGGCACTGTGATAAGGGGTGGGGGACACCAAAAGAGGCAAAACACAGTCCCTGTCCTCGAGGACCTTACAATCTAACACAGGAGACAACATGCAAACAAATAACATACAAAGTAAGATACATATAGGATAACTAAGAAATAAGTAACAGAGAGAAGGCACTAGAATTAAGAGGGATTGTTGTCGTCTGTTGTTGTTCAGTCGTTTCAGTCATGTCCGACTTTCCATGACCCCATTTGGGGTTGTCTTGGCCGATACTGGAGCGGTTTGCCATTTCCTTCTCCAGCTCATTTTACAGATGAGGAACTGAGGCAGACAGGGTTAAGCGACTTGCCCTGGGTCACAAAGCTAGGAAGTGTCTGAGGCCAGATTTGATCTCACAAAGACGAACTTTCCTGACTCCACACTCTATCCACGGTACTACCTAGCTGCCCTACAAGGCTTTTTTCCATAAAAGATGGGATTGTAGTTGTGACTTAAAGGAAGTGTCTGCCATTAGGACAGGAGCTTCTTAAGGGCAGAAACTGTGTTGGTTTTTAGTTTCTCTGTATCACCAGCACTTACCACAGTGCCTCATCCATCTTAAGTCCCTTAATACCTTTTACTCCACTCATAGCACAATCAAGAAATAGAGTTCAGGTTCTCTCAATTGACCTACTACAATAGCCCAGGGCTGATTTTCCTACATCTGGTCAATTTCCTCTATAATTTATTCTCCAGTCAGTCAACCAAGAGGCATTTATTAAGGACCTACTATGTGCCGGCACTGGGGATACAAAGCAAGGTCAAAGGCGGTCCCTGTTCTCAAGGACCTCACAATCTAATGGGGGAGAGACAACATAAAAGTAACTATGTACAAACAACATATAGATAAGATAAACCAGAGATCATCTTAGAGGGAAAACACCAGCTTTAAGGAGGTCCAGAAAGGCTTCTAGGATTGTAGCAGAGACTTGAAGGAAGCCAGGAGGCAGAGATGAGGAGAAGGAGGAGACTATTACTGGCATGAAGAATTCAGGGAAAATGACCAGAGTCTGGAAATGGAGTGCCCGGTTCAAGAAACAGCAGGGAGGCCAGTCACTGGCTAGCAGAGTTGGGGGAGCAGGAAGAAATAGGGCAGTAAGGTACAGGAAGACTGGAAAGGTAGGAGGGGGTCAGGTTGTGAAGGACTTTGGGTGCCAAAGGACCCAGGAGGTGATAGGGAGTGACTGGAATTGATTAAAAAAGAGGGACAACTGAGTGGCAGGTGGACTGAGACCTGAAGAGATTTGAGGCAGGGAGCCCAACCAGCAGGCCATTGCAATAGTGCAGCTATGAAGTAATGATGGCATGTCAAAGGAGAAGAGGTAGTGAATTCCAGAGATATTCTACACCCCCACCTCCCCTTTCCAGCATTCTCTTATGCTTTGTCTTCCCCCTTAGATTGTAAGCTCCTTGAGGCCAAGGGCTGTCTTTCTTATTTGCATCCCCAGAACTAAGCACAGTGCCTGACACAAAGAAGGCACTCAATAAATGTTTACTGAATTGAAATGAAATTATAAAGGTAAAATTGGCAGGCCTTGGCAACACATTAGACTGGAGGGAGAGAGTGAGAAATCAAGGATGACACCTACATGTTATAAGCCTGAGTACCTGAAGGATTGGTGGTGCCCTTGGCTACTGTAAGAGGGCAGCTCAGAAGACAGGGAGGGTTCCACAGGAAAGATAAGTTCAGTTTTGGATTATGTTGTTGGATATGTTGAGTTTAAGATGTCTCTGGGGCATCCAGTTTGAGATACCTAATGGGCAACTGGAGATTTGAGTCTGGAGGTCAGGGCTAGATAAGCAAATCTGAGAATAATCAGCATAGAGATAACTGAAGCCTTGGGAGTTATGAGATTACCAAGTGAAAATGGTATAGAGGGAGAAGAGAGCTCAGGAAAGAAACAAAATCATCATCCACTGATGGAAGGTATCTTAAATTAAAACCTGATGCTTGAACCCATTCCATGAAAATGAATAAGCCTAGAGAGGCCAGAAAGAGCTGTTTGCAAGGATGGGTTGTGAGGGAATACTTAACACCAATTCAATTAGTCTCAACGAGCATTATATTAAGTACCTACAACTATGTAACTGAGCTACAAAGACACAAAGCCGTCAGCGAGATCACAGGCACATCTGAATATTTTGCAAGCACTGGAAACTGACTAGCTGGCATTTTATTTCCTCTACAAAGATCAGACTCAGAGCGGGAAAGGCCCTGGAGGTTATCTAAGCCAAACCCTTCATTTTACAGATAAGGAATCTGAGAAGTAAAGTGAATTTGCACCAAGTCACACAGGTGGCAAAGAAGCAGGGTTGAGGTGTGAAACCAAGTCTGCCCACAAATTCGGTTCTCCTTCCAGATTTTGGCACTAAAGAGTCACGGCAGACGTCAGACTTCTCCCAGTTAGTTTTTCCCAACCTTTTTTTCCCTCTTGTTTTTGTTCTTTTGTTTACGGGGAGGCTGCAAGGAGGTTTAATGAACATTTATTTTGTGCTACGTGCCGTGCACTGCACTAGGGGCTGGGGATACAAAAAGAGGCAAAGAAGGGGAACAAAAGGCGACGAAAATGGATTTTCACAAAGACACCAACCAAGAAGAGCTTCACCATCAGGGGGAGCAGAAAAGTGACAGAATCGACAGGCTGGAGGCCCCACGCGTGGCGCTTTCTTTCGAGTAAACGGTTTCACCCATTCCTTCCAGTTAAGGTGCCTCGTTAAGTTTGGGGGTTTGTTTGTTTTTTTAAGTTGGTGCTTAAGAAAGCAAGCTCACCCACGTCCCCACGACCCCGATGCTAGGAAGCCTCCCTGCATTCACCCCGCAGACCGGCCCTCTGGCTCCCACGCGCGCTGTCCGTCCTCCTCGCGGACTGTCACGCTTCCTCCCCTCCCCCCTCCCGCTCTCCTGGCGGGGGGCACCCCGCTGGGCGCTCCTCGCCCGGCCCCGCCCGCACTCGCCTAAGGAAGTACGGCTTGGCGTAGAACTTGAAATCGACGCCCTCGAAGTAGACCTCGAACTCAGAGACGCGCGCGTAGGGCACGCGGATGGCGATCGTCAGCGACTCGGCGTCCTGGCTCAACTCGAACGCGGGCGTGATCATGACGCGGCGAGGGCGCGATCGACGGCTCGAGGATGGATTGGCCAGACGGCGGACCCCCCACCGCGAAGACCGCACGCACAAGGAAGCCACAGACTAAGCGGGAGATGATGGGTAACTCTGCTACCGAAAACCTATCCCCATAGAAGAGATGCCCTCTTCGAGGATGCAGACAGACGCAAACGCTGAAATTTCTCGCCCCCAACCGAGGAGTGGAGGAACGCACGCCGGGGTCGTCAGGACAACGCCGCATGCGCTCCTTCCTTCACTGACTTAGCGTTGGATTTCCGGGACTCGGCGGAAACGGCGCTAGAGCAGTCAGGAAGTCCCGCCTTCGGTTGCCATGGGGACGCGGCAGCTGCTGGCGTGAGGAGGAGAGGAGATAAGGGGGGGGCGGAGCAGAGGTCACGGAGGGGGTGGCGCTGCCGCGCCTGGGACCCGGCTCTGCTGGGCTTTGTACGCCCTCCAGTCATTTCCTTCCTTCCCGGCCCGGGCCCAGAGGACCCTGACCAGGCCGCGGCGGCGCTCTGGGCCTCGGCTTCCCCAGCTGGAAATAAGAGGCCGGGACTCGCGGCCTCTGAGGAGCCTTCCGGCGGGGGTCCGCAATTCCCCCTTCCGCTCCCCACTCTGCCCTCCTTTTCCTCCCCCGAGTGGAACAGTAATAATGATAATAACAATAATAATAATAATAATGATAATAATAACATTAACAAAGCGTCTACTATGTGCCAGGCACCGTGCTAAGCGCTTTCTAGTACTCACAGGCTTCAAGCCCCATCTCAAATATCTGCCACCTGTGTGACCCGAGGCAAAGCACGACATCTCCCTGGGCCTCAGTTTCCCCCTCTGTAAAGGTTCTTCCACCTCTGGATGTGCACACCCCTTTGCTTTTCCTCCTCTCTTTCTCCAGCTTGGTATAGTAGTAGATAGGAGGGGTTAAAGTCCCCCCTCAAAATTTAGTGCCTGTGTCTTGGGCCTCAGTTTCTTCATCTGCAAAATGGCCTCCAAGAACCCTTCCAGCTCTAAAGCCATGATCCTTTAATCCCTTCCCATCTCTCCTGTGCTCTTAGCTGACACCTTCCATTTCTTCCCCCAAGTCTCTGCCCTCTTTACTGGCCTCATCCAGTAAAAAACATCCTGATAAAAAACAAGTCCATAGTGTTCTTGTCCCTCCTTAAATTGCCCACCTATTAATTTGGAAGTTAGGTTTCTAACAATGTTTCATACCTATGTTTGTGGCCCTATTCTAATTCTCTATGTTTATCAGATCTCTATGTTTATCAGATCTCTAGAAGAAACAAAACTGGGAGGGCTATGGCCAGTATGTTGGTTGACAGAGTTAGATCCAAAGAATAATTTCATTAGGCCAGAGTAATAAAACTTAATGGAAAGAAATGTTTGTACCATTAGGTTCAGAAACATCAACTGCTTATCAAATGTATATAATGGAGAAAAGATAGAGGCCTTTCCAGTAAAATCAGGGGTAAAGCAAGAATGCCCATGATTGTCATTACTAGTTAAAACCACTTAACAATTAATGCTGGAAATTCTAGTTGTAACAATAAGACAAGGGAAAAAAACATACAGCAAATCGATAATCAGCAAAACAACTTCATGCTAATTTTAAAATGGATCAATCACTGAACAGAACAAATATACAACATACAGAAGCCAACAAACATAGTAGCATGGTGTTCAATAAACCCAAAGACTCAGTTTACTGAGGTAAAGATTCACTATTTGACAAGAATTACTTGGAAAATGTGGTAGCAGCCTAGCAGAAATTTGGTATAGGCTATACAGCAGTATGTCTCACACCATATACCAAGATAAGCTCCAGATAAGTACTTAGTCATGAAAAGTGTCTCTCATCTCACTTCACCCTCACAATAACTCATACTGCACCTATTATCTCTGTTTTATAGATGAGGAAAGGCAAGGTTTGAGAGATTAAGTGACTTGCCCCAGTAAGTATTAGAAGCAGGATTTGAACCTAGTTTTCTCCTGACTAGTTTTAGTGCTTTTTACAATACACCAAACTGCCTCTAAGTGGAGAAGAGAAACATATGCAAGAAAAGGGCTTTTTCTGATGTGCAAGCCATGTCTACAGGATGCTTGCAAAATAAACCAATTCTTGATTAATTCTATGGTATAATCCACACATTGTTAAAAGCTGATAGATTAACCAATATGGTTTGTTTTGCTATCAGTGTTGATAACCAGAATAAACAAAGCTTATATTTATATTTAATTTTCTGACTTTAATTGTTAAGTAACTATATGTGGAAATGGAAATGACACTAAATAAGAAAATGAGAAAGAGCTTCAAGTATTAGAATCTCTATCTGGTTGTAAGTTAGGGCCTTCCTTTTATATAAATTCCTTAGGGCATGACCAAGTGTTTCACACAATGACTCTGAATGATTCAAAGACCTATTCCCAACCTAATTTTGTTTTCAACATTCACATCCACAAGATTTCGAGTTCCAAATTTTCTCCCCATCTCATCCCTCCCCCAACCCCAAGACAGCGTGCATTCTGAATACCTTTTCCCCTAATCTGCCCTCCCTTCTATCTCTCCCCCCTTCTCTTATCCCCTTCCTCTTCTATTTTCCTGTAGGGCAGGATAGATTTCTATACATCATTGCCTGTATTTCTTATTTCCCAGTTGCATGTGAAAACAATTTTTAACATTTGTTTTTAAAACTTTGGGTTCCAAATTTTCTCCCTTCCTCCCTCCCCATCCACCCTCATTGAGAAGGCAAGCAACTTGATACAGGTTATACTTGTGTAGTCATGCAAAACACTTCATGATATAATTTTGATTGGTTGATTCAATCAAGAAATATTCTTAACTAGCAAAGGTTTTAAGTGCATTATTCTTCTAAGCCTTGGTTTATTTTTCCATCTTGGATAAAGGTTGGTTCTAGGATTGTCAGTTGGTGCTAACTTGAGAAATGTAAATATGGTCAATCGGTGGGCACTGTCCCTTTAAAGGGAGCAAAAAAATGCATGTTCTGCCACCATCTTTGTCAGGCTGCCTCTCCAGTTATCACTCTTTATATGTTCACTTGGAACTTACTGATACACAAAATCATTGTTATGATTTAAATATGTCCTTTATAAGTACTTTAGTAAGTAGCCTACTAATGGCAAACAGCAGTGGAAAGAGGTAAGGTAGCATAAAATACATTGAATATTTTACCAATGGTGACTGGTAGAAGACAAGAGAACAAGTGACTTAGAATACAATATCATCCATGGGAACAAAAAAGGATGTAGGCTGGTCATGTATTAACAGCACGGGAAAAAAGCCTGAATACTATGGTGGTATTCAGAGGAATGTCTCCAGTACATAGAATATATTCTCTATAGAGAACATGTGGGAAGTCATAGAAAAGAATTGCATAGATTTAGAAAATGTGGATGAGTTGTTATCAGCACCTTTTGAGGAAGTACATTTGGGAATTATATGACATTCTAACCTTTTTAAAATTACCAAAGAAACATAAACTTTATGGTTGCAAGGTGCTTTTTAATTGCTTTAATTGATATATTTGTTTTGATAAAATCAATATTTCCAAACAAATTCTGCTATACTAAGTAAAGTCCAGGAAAACAAGTTAAGCAAAACTTGCAAGGTATTTTAGAAATCATTTAGTTCAACTTCCTCTTTTTATAGATGGGGAAACAGGATCACAGATGTGAAATGACACCCCCAAGGCCAAGAATAAAGCCTATAACCCAAGTTTCCTGACTCCTAGTCTAGGATCTTTCTTCTACCTCAAAACAACTTCCCTTTGAATGTTCTATTTCTGCACTCCTTCCTTTGATGCTCTTATGCCTCGTGTTTTCCTTTTTTTTATTGTTTCTGAATAAAGATTCAAGTCACCCTATATTTTCACATAGCTTTTTTTTCTTTTTACCTACTAACTCATTCAGTATATGTTAGCTTATGTCAAAGAAGTCAGAATCAGCATAATGTGTAAAGAGTCAGCTTGAAACCAGCAGGACCTATCCTGTTAGGTAGAATCTGTCCCAGTCCTAAAACCTGAGTTCAAATATGGCCCCAGACACTTACTAGCTGTGTGACCTTGGGCAAGTTGCTTCACCTTTTTTGCCTCAGTTTCCTCATCTATAAAATGAGCTGGAGAAGGAAATGGCAAACCATTCCAGTATCTTTGCCAAGAAAACCCCAAATGGGGTCCCAAAGAGTTTTACATTACTGAAACAAATGAACACCAACAAAATCCCAGTCCTGCATTTGACTTATATTGCCTTGGAGATGTTGGACAAATCACTTAACACCTCAGTGCCCTGGGCAATTCTCTAAGACTTTAACTTATAAAGAAGGTCGGTAAAGGGAGTTTCCTCACCTCAGAGTTCCCCATACCAATGAAATCATAGGTCTAACCCCTATCCTTATGTAAAAGAAATATATTTTCTCTATACTATAAATTTGATTGAACTTTTATATTCCAAATAATATTTGTTAGCTAGAAAATATTTTAAGCAAATCATTTCACCATCAGCTTTATCAAAATTTTTGTGCTAGACATGTTTCTGATAATGAGATACTGTTTGTTTCCAGAAGGGGGCAGGCCTACAGGATATCAGTGGCAAAGGATTATCCCAAGAGGTTTAGGTTTTTAACCACTTTGAAAATAAACTGCTATATGAATGAGCTGTGGCTCATTTTCCCTGCTAGTAATTTCAACAACTATCATAATCACAGTCTTCTATGGAATAAAATTACTTAGTAGCAAAGCAGGCTTTCATAAAATTCAGTGATAGACTCAATAGTTGATATATACTAATTTCCAATTAGATAAAAGTTAGAGGAAGGGGAAAAGGTCTTCATCAGTTTGACAAAATGCACATAGATATCAATGAAACAATCATCTCTATGTAATTAAACTAATTACATGTGTATTTCCTTAAAATTACAGTACTTTTTTTCCCTCCACATGAGCTTACATTAATTTTGCTAAAGAAAAGAAGTATTCAGTAAGA